GGAACAGGAGTCAAGCCCCCTTGGAGTCTTCGGCCCCTGCCTTCCTTGGGTGGGCCATTCGCTGCCTGTGAGAAGAGATGAGGACCCTGCCCTGGACCTGTGTCTGGAGGAGGAACCTGGGGAGGAGTGGAGCCTGGGATGGGATGGGTGAACCCAGCTGTCTGCTGCAGGCCCCCTCCTCCAATTCTGCACTTGGGGACCCTCACACAGTCCCATCTCAGGCTGGGCTGTGTTCCCAGGGAGGATGGGTAGGCAGGCGGGTGGCCAGCCTTTCCATGAAAAAAGGAAGCCAGCTGTGTCCCCGCCTGGCCGACCCTCGGCCCCTCCTCTCCCAAGCCTGGTTGGGGGATGGCTGGCTCGCATCTTCCCAGCAGTCAGTTACCCAAGAGGAAGCTGCCTTGGGCCCCCAGACCGTTAAATGCCAACTCCAGGCTTCCGGAACCAGGCTGGCCTGACCTGAACCTGCCTGGCCCCTTCTCCCTGGGCCCTGCGGCTTCCTAACTTGGGGGGGGAGGAGCCATGACACCCTCCTGGCACGTGGGGCAGGGAATGAGGTCCCTGTGGGCCCAAAGGACACAAACAGGCCCGCTCAGTCCTTGGGTGGTCCCAGGGCATGGATGCGTGGAGACTGTCCATCATCAGATGGAATGGGGCTCTTTTGGGGGTGAGACTGGGGAGGCAGTGTGAAGCCCCCCGAGTTGGCTCAGTGTACCCCTGTCCCACTGGGGCAGGGGCAGACAGCAGCTTGGGAAAGTCTATGCTGTGTGTCGAGCCTGTTGTCCAATTAAATAAAAGCTGCCCCCTGCGTCATTCCTGAAGTTCTGGTGGTTTGTGATTTATTCTGGCCTCCAACCCTGGAGTTTCTGGCTTTTTGACTGGGGAGGGTTGGTTGGTCTGAATTTACTGTCCTGGCATCCTGGGCTCCTGACTTCACAGGATCCCCATCCGCCTGCTCTGAGGAAGGTGATAATTTAGTCACATGGGCGGAAAGGGTGCCCTTGTCATGGAAAGGTGACCTTGAGGAGTGTCCTAGGGATGGGTGTTGACCCCACGTGAAACCCTGGGCTGGAGGGACTGACTTTCAGGGGTGGTGTGGTGACAGGGAGGACTGTTCTTGGAGGGACTTAGATGGGATCATGATGAGGCATGCCCCACATCCAGGGCTGGGCGTGGGAGAGAATGGGACCCAACCTAACCTGGTGGCTGGGGGTGACCCTAAGGGAAACACTGGACATTTGGGGATAACTGGGACCTGAAGGTTTTGATCTAGTGACATTTGGGGATGACTTAGACATAAGGGACAACTTGGGCTGGGGGTAAGATTTGGGGTGTGTGGTATCTGAGAAGGCTGGTGGGGAACTTGGGCTTGAGGTTGTGTATGTGGGCCCAAGGGGGACATCTGGCTGTGACTGGGCCCTGAGTCGCGCCCTAGGTCTGTGGGGAATATCTGTAGATGACTTTGAGAGGTGAGGGGCACGGTAAGGGGCACCCCAGGTCTGAGGATGTTTGGAGGGAGCTGGGACCACAAGGGCCAAAGCTGATGTAGAGTTCTCAGAACTGGCACTCCTACCCTCCCAGGCCTCCAGGCGGCACTAAGGAGCGTGCGGGTCAGCGGGGGGTGGGGGTGGGGTGGGGGTGTGGTGGTGGTGGTGGTGGTGGTGGGTAGTGGGTCTCCCTGCACCTACCTGCGGGAATACGTGAGGCGGGGCAGGAGGTGGGACCGCTTCCAACTGGTTCCCTCCAGCGCAGGGAGGAGCCACGAACCAATCGCCAGGCCCAGCGCCACCGAAGGCCCGCCCACTGCTGCGCGCGGACCCTCGGCGCCCTCTAGCGGCCGGCTCCGCCCAGCCTCGCTCTGAGCCCCGCCCCTCCAGGGAGCCTCTGTCCTCGCCTGCCCCGGCCCTGACAGTGACCCAGACAGTCTGTCCCTCTGTTCGTCACTCTCTAAAGGCAGGAAGCCAGTAAAGGAAGGCAACCAACGGCCTTCTTGCCATCTTCCAGATCCCTCACTCTATTTGGGGACTGGGAGCCTCATCCGCGGTGTAGGAGCCCAGACACGCCCCCCCCATTGACCTCGCCCACCAAGGCCCTGTCTAAGCCGAGTTTCCACCTTTGGGGGGCGTGTCTTCCCCACCCAGCTGCACCCAGCACCTGACACGCACCACCACCGTCCCGCGCTCAGAAACTTGCAATTAACTCCAATAGCTAGTGCTGGAGCCAGGGCACCCCCTAGTGGCCATTCCCACCGCTGCATGGCCCATGCAGCCCGGGGTGAGCAATCAGTGGCCCTACCCCAGCAAGGTACTAAATCTAGCTCTGTCGCTTTCTAAAACTGAGTGCCCTTTCTTCAACTTTGGAGCCTCAGTTTTCTCCTCTGTAAAATAGGAATGCTAATCCTACCGACTCGTAGCGCTGTTACGACAGGTGTTGTAACAGATGACAGGTGTAAAGCGCAGTGTCAGCGCCCAGCTTGCTCATAGTGAGCTCTCTCTCCCTGTCTGCTATCACCCATACTGTTACCACTGGAGGAAACCAGCAGTGGCTCCCATTGCACCCCTCACTTGAAGCTGTACTCAGAGAAGAGGCTGGAGATTTTCTGTGGGTGGGAAAAGGAAGCCCTGGCAGGGGGCCACAATGGCGGGGTGGGGGTGGGGGGCAGAACACGCCTTAGTCTCAAAATAAAATTAAAAAGAACAAGCTGTGTTCAACCTTTAAAAAAAAGGAAATACAGTATATGGTTCAATAAATAGAAAAAAAGTTACAAAATGTGGTAATCTTTGTACTTAATTACAAGAGGAGAAAAGACAGAGGAGGGTGACTGTGGGGTGGGACTCTCCCTGGGCCAAGGTGCGGGAAAGGGAGGCCCAAGAGAGACAGCAGCTGGGACTTGGGGATGCAAATAGAAAGACAGGCTAGATGGAGAGAAATATGGGAAGGGGGAGTAAGATGAAGGGCAGAGCAGGGAGGCAGAGGCTCAGAAAGGGAGAGACAGACAGAGGGCCAAAAAATGCTAAGATGTTGGCCTCTTTCCTTTCTAGATCAGGGGGAAGAGGGGGGGGGGTCCCTGGCTTGCCTGCGCTTGTATTCCCCCCCCCCCACACCAGGTTTGGAGGACAGTGTGAGCCTGGCTCGGTTCCTGAGTTGTATGTCCAGTGACTAGCAGGTAGGGGGAGGGACAGTAATGAGCCCCCAGCCCACCCTGGGACCCTGGCACCCAAGGGAATGGGAGTCCTGGCGGGATGGGTGGTGAGGTATGTGGCCGAGGCCTGAAGCCTCTTCAAATCCTTCAGTGGGGGTGAGCCATTGGTCCCAGCTCTGCAGCCTGGAGGGGGCGCAGGCCTGCGGGTGGGACCCCTGAGGCAGTGAGGGGAGGGTACAAATGGAGTTTAGATGCCCTAACGCAAGCCCCCCGGGCACCCAGAGTTGGTTGCAGGGAGGGTCTGCTACGTTGACTCTGAGAGCCAGTTTCTGGAATGTCCTGCCTCCCAGCTCATCCACCCCAGCCCAAGGGAGACATGTGGGTTTGGGGAGGGAGAGCTTGCCTATTGCTTTTAGGGTGCTCAAGGCGGGGTCATACCGGCTGCACAAGCACACACCCCCTTCCAGGCCTCTGGGTGGTGGTATGGCTTCTGATCCTTGCGTCTTGCACACTCGCTAGGCACGCATGTGCCCTAGGCACGCATGTGGCAGGATGCGACGCCCTGCTTCCCACCTCCTTCTGGGCTTGGAGGGGATGGCAGGCAAGACCACCGAGCTCCAGCCGGGCTCCTTCCCTGACTTAATACTGAAATGCCACATAGGCGTCCAGTGTTGAGGCCCGTGATGGAGGGCGGGTGCCACAGAAGCAGGGGCGAAGGCGGATGTCCCCACCACCTGCCTGCGGCCCCTCAGCCGAAACGCTCCCGCACCAGGAGCATGAGCTTCTTCTTGCCCTTGTAGGTCTGTTTGAGGTTCTCCAGGAACTGCGCGAACTGCAGGTGCCCATCGGGCGCCAGCAGGAAGGTCTCACGGGCCTTGCCCAGGAACTCGATGAAGTCGCCGTAGTGCCGCGGGCTGATGTGCGTCAAGCGGGAGTGGCTGGTGGTGATGTAGGCGGCCACCGCCGCGTCCAGCAGCTGGCACAGCGGTGCCCGGTCGGCGCCCAGCGGCTTGGCAGCCCGGCGAGCCCCGAGGGGCCCCAGGCCGGGCGCTGAGAGGGTCCAGCGGCGCAGGATATCGGAGAGCATGGGGGCGCAGTGGATGCTGCGGATGATGAGGGGAACGATGGCAGAGAGCTCGTGCCGGCCCAGCGAGTGGCTGAGCGAGCAGGCCCAGAGCACATCATTGACGGCCGGGTGGCTGTCCTGGTTGAAGGCGATGCTGAGCTGCGCCAGGGCCAGCGTCGCCAGCTTGTAGGCCCGCAGCGGCAGGCCGCGGTGCTCCATGTAGCGGGCCACGGTGAAGAGGTGGGCGTGGCCCAGGCCTCCGGCCGCGGCATCCAGCACGATCTGGTAGGCCGCCTCGAAGGCCGCGTGGTTCTTCTCGCACAGGGTGAGGGCGGGCAGGGCGCAGTTCTGCGGGTCCTTCATGGCGCACTGCAAGGCCAGGGTGCGGGCGCATGCCCAGAGCTCCTCCCGCCGGGGCGCATCCAGCTGCAGCCGCAACAGCGTGGCATGGGTGGTGCCCGTCACTGCCACGATGGTGGCTGCCTCCACCGGTGTGAATAAGGAGTACCAGTTCTGCATGATGTTCATCAGGGCTTGCAGGCCTGTGGGAGATGACAGGGTGACACTGGTCAGGAATGGGACAGGGGGTTACCCTGTGTGCATGGGTTTACCCTGACCTACTATCCCCACCAGCCAAGGCTAAAGCTGCACCCCCTCTACCGCCACTCTTGGCTTGACAGAAACTTCACTTTAATTTTCCAAGGGGGGAGCGGGCAGCTGGGCTGGGTGGGATCTGGGGGGTGGGGGCCAGGCATTGGAGGGATTGTCCCTTTTCCAAGCCACTTTAGCCTAGCCAGACTCCAGGTCTTTGTCCAGCTCGGTCCCCCCTCCCAACATTCCCTCCTGGCCTAGCCCTGAGCACAGGCTGGAGTCGGGGAAATGGCTCTGCTTCTCCCTCATGCCTGCCCAGTTCCACAGGGAGGTGGGTGGCGGGTCCCCTTGGGGACTCTCACCGACTTCCGTGGCACAGCTGACCAGCCAGCGCACCATCTCCCTCCGACGCCAGGTCATGGTGTTCAGGGTCATCTGCATCACCTGCAGCATGGGATGGGGAGGGGTAGAGAAGGGGGTCACCCAAACCAGGGCTGGCGTGTGGAAGGGGGGCGGGCGGGGGATCCTTAAGGGCCCCGGGAAACTTGGAAGTTAAGGGCTGAATCAATAAGCCGTACAATCTGGGCAAGGGGCTTCACCGCTATGGACCTCAGCTTCCCCATCTGTAAAATGGAGATAAAAATAGTATCCACCTCATCGAGTTGTGAGAATTAAGTGAAAGTATGTAGGTAAAGCTCTTTGCACGGTGCCTACTTGTTCAAAGTGCTCAGCTGATGCCAGCTATTACTGTTAGTGTTGGTGTTACTCTGAGGCCCCATGGATCCTACCTGGGACGACAAACCAACCTGTCCCTTCTCTCTGGAAAGTTCCATGCTTCCTGTCAGCAGATTTCCCCCTGCAGCCCCAAACAAAGCACCTGCCCTACAGGTCCCACCCCCAATAAGCACCTTCCTTGCTGGCCTCTCTTCTGAGGCCCCATCCCCAGGTCCTGTCCGGAAGCTTCTAAATAGTGGGTCACCTGCCTAAAGCACCACCCTTATCTCAGCTCCCACATATGCCCCACAATGGCTCCGCCCCCCTCAGGGGGTTGTTCAGAGGCCAATTCTGCCTCCTGCCAGCCCTTTGCTGGCCAGTTCTACCTGGGAAGGTATCACCCGAATCTGTACCTTATTCTGTTATTTTACTTTGGCCACCGTCTGAGGCCACGCCCCCATGAGCCCCATACCTGTCTATCCCCTCAGGCTGCAACCATGCCTCTGCCTTGCCCTTGCAGCACTGTCCCTTGTCCGGCCCCTGAGGATGGCCTGGACACTCACCTGCAGGCCCCGCCTCCATGACTTTCAACCACAGACCCCACCCTCCAGAGGTGGCTCTTCACTCACAGGACTATCCCCAAGCCCCGCCCCTCAGTGGTGACCCCTCCTTCTAGGCTGCAGTCCCCTACAGGCCCTTTCCCCAAGAAAGCTCCTCGCAGGCAGGTTCTGCCCCTTCAGTTTCAGCTCCGCCCACCCGTGGTTCTTATGGCACACCAGCCCCAGGCCCCACTCCCAAGGCCAGCACCCTTAGGTTCTGCTCTCTCTTGTGGCCAGTCCACTCACCTGCATGCTCCGTGACCCCTTTCCTTGTCCTCAGCCACACCCCCAGAAGTAGATTCTCACCTTCAGGCTCTGCTACTCATTCATAGGCCCCACCCTCACTGGTGACTCTATTCCCTCACTCTCAGGACTCTTACTCACCCACCCTGCTCCTCTGTAGACCCGCCCAAGAGGTGCCACTCACACCCAGGCCCTGCCCCCAGAGGCGAGGCTTACCCTCAGGCCCCGCCCCTAGAGGCAGACCTCACACTCAGGTCCCACCCCCAAGTGGCCCTCACCTGGCCGGCCCTCAGGCAGCAGCCCCCTGCCCCCATCCTCCCTGCGGCCAGTCACCTGCAGGCCAAGCTCCAACGCAATGCCCAGCAGCGTGGTGTCTGGTGGTGCACTGGCCGGCGTGGCAGTCTTGCAGGCGTCCTGCGCCAGCTTGAAGAGCAAGGCTGGAGAGTGGATGTTCTGCTGGATGGAGCCCAGTACTGCGTGCAGCCACTTGGGGTCTCCTGGGGTTGGGGGAGGGACAGAGGATATTGTGGGCATACCCAGCACCAGCCCCTGCTGCTGCCTGACCTGCTCACACTGGTTCCTCTATAAATGTGCGAATGTGTGAATGTGGACGGTGAGGCACCTGGCAATGGTTCTATGAAGACCTAGACCACTCTTGGCACTCCCCTTTTTCTCTCCTCTGCCCCTTCCTTTCCAGTGGGAGGAAGCCACCCAGGGACCCACTGGAGCCCTAATTGTCAAGGGCACCGATTCTGGACCCAGATGCCTGGGTTCAAATCCCTGCCACTCACAAGCTGTGTGACCTTGAGCAAGTCGCTTCACCTCTCTGTACCTTGGCTGCCCCATCTGTACAAAGGGTAATAGTAATGCAATGGTACGTGTCTCACAGGGCTGCAGTGAGCCTATACTTGTAAAGGCCTTAACATGGCAAGAGTTACACAAATGTGAGCTTTTATTACTATTATTATCATTGGCCCAGATCCTACAATTCTGTTACTCTGCTCCAGCCACATCAGCCTCCTCTCTGTTCCTCAAACATAACCAGGCACAGTCCAGTATCAGGGTCTTTGCACTGGCTGTTCCCTCTGCCTGGAATGCTCTTCCCAGATGCTATGGACTGAACTGTGTCCTCCCCAAAATTCATATATTGAAGCTCTAACCCTCCAGCGTGACAGTACCTTTGGGAGGTAATTTTGTTTAGATGAGGCCATGTGGCTAGGACCCCCAGGATGGGATTAGTGTCCTTATAAGTAGAGGAGAAGACCAGAGCTCTCCCTTTCTCTGCCATGTGAGGAGGCAGTGAGAAGGCAGCTGTCTGTAAGCCAGGAAGAGAGCCCTCACCAGGAACTGACCATGCTGGCACCCTGATCTCGAACTTCCAGTCTCTAGAACTGTGAGAAAATAAATTCCTGTTGTTTAAACTACCAAGTCTATGGTATTTTGTTACGGCAGCTGAGCTAAGACACCAGATACTGGCATGACTCCACCTTCACCGTCATGTCTTGGCTTAAGTGTCAACCTGCTTTATTCCCCTCCTTACCACTTATTACCTCTCATTGCATAACTATCTTCTTTACCTTATTTGTTGTCTGTCTGCCCTCACTAGAATTAACACTACAGAGCACAGGATTGGGGACAGTTTTGTTCGCTGCTGCAAGCTCAGCACCTGGGACAGTGCCTGGTACATATAGAGAGTGCTCAAGGAGGGACTTCCCTGGCAGTCCGTGGTTAAGACTCCACGCTTCCACTGCAGAGGGTGTGGGTTTGATCCCTGGTTGGGGAACTAAGATCCCACATGTTGTGTGGGGTGGCCAAAAAAAGAATGCGCTTAAGGAAAACTGTGGGTGGGATATGGTAAGAGGATAAAAAGCAGGCAGGAAGGAATGAGGGAAAGGAGGGAGGGGAGTAAGGTAAAGGAGGACAGGGGGACGGGGGTGGGGGGCAGCCGCCGTCCTTACCCTTGGCGGCAGTCAGCATGGCGGAGGCCAGTTCACACTGGCGGGTCTCCAGGTGGCCTAGGATGAACCAGCGGGGGAAGCGGTTGCTCACGATGGAATCCAGTGGGTTGCCGTGAGGTTCTCCAGCTGGAAACGCTGTCTCCAGTATGGGCAGCCTGGGGTGAGAAGAGAAGCAGCCCTGCCCTGAGACAAGGCTGGAGTCTCCATCCTCTCTAGGAGAGAAAGGCCTCCTGCCTCAGCCAGAGCCTACCCTCCTAGGCCAGCAAATCTCTGGGCATCCAAAAAGATGGAGGATGTATGTTCAAGATGTTCACTGCAATATAAAATAGATAAATAAGGACCTGCCATATAGCACAGGGAACTCTACTCAGTACTCTGTAATGACCTATATGGGAAAAGAATCTAAAAAAGAGTGGATATGTGTATTGATATATGTATAACTGATTCACTTTGCTGTACAGCAGAAACTAACACAACACTGTAAATCAACTATATTCCAATAAAAATTAAAAAAAAAAGATGTTCATTGCAGTGTTGTTTATACCCATCACTGTGGGGTTGATTAAATAAATGGTGCTCTATTCACGCACCAAGGGCTGATAAAGAGGTAAGGGGATTATTTGTGTCCTGATGTGGTCCCACCCCTTGCTCACTCTGCTCCAGTCACTGTTCCCCTTGACATCCCTCACATACCACCAGGCACAGCCCTACCTCAGGGCTTTTGCACGAAATGTTCCCTCTGCCTGGAACACTCTCCCCTAGACATTCTTGTGACTCCTTCTCACCTCTTTCAGGTCTTTGCTCAAATATTTTTCAATAAGCCCTTCCCTGACATGCCCAACACATGGGAGAGTGCAACTTCCTACTCCCAACTCCTTCCACCCCTTTCTTGCATGTCACTATCTGACATACAACATAGTTTACCTATAAATTTATTTACTGTCTCTCCCTAACTACAAGGTCAGCTCCATGAGGGCAGGAATTTTTTTTTTTGGCGGTACGCGGGCCTCTCACTGTTGTGGCCTCTCCCGTTGCGGAGCAACAGGCTCCGGACGTGCAGGCTCAGCGGCCATGGCTCACGGGCACAGCCGCTCTGCGGCACGTGGGATCTTCCCGGACCGGGGCACGAACCCACGTCCCTTGCATCGGCAGGCGGACTCTCAACCACTGCGCCACCAGGGAAGCCCGAGGGCAGGAATTTTTGACTATTTGGTTCACCGACACTGCCTCTCCAGCACCAGAACAATGCCTGACACACAGCAGGTAAACAAAAAATGTTTGTTGAATGACTCAACGTCCCCCCTAAGATATTTTGTTCAGCAGCTCACTGTTTACGTGCATTCTGTGCTAAGAAAGTTTTTCAAAGCTGTTAAGTGTAATCAATAGCATGGAGTAGGAATCAAGACTATCCTGGTTCCAAATATCTAAATGACTTTGCTACAGATTTCGGGACACACCTTAAGCCTGTTTATGTGTAATATGGAGGCAAACATACTTATTTCACTATGTGAGTCACAGATTTAGATCAGGGGGGTCAGCACCTTTTTCTGCACAGGGCTGGACAGCCAATATTTTCAGCTTTGTGGGCCATTTGGTCTCTGTCACAATTGTCACTGTTGTGTAAAAGCAGCCACAGACAATAAGGAAATGAGTGAATGGTGCTCTGTGCCGATAAAACTTTATTTCTGGATGCTGAAATTTGAGTTTCACATACTTTTCATGTGTCACAGAATATTGTTTTGATTTTTTTCCAACTATCTCAAACTACAAAAACCATTCTTATCTCATGGGCTGTACAAAAACAGGCAGCGGGCCAAATTTGGCCCATGGGCTGTAATTTGCTGGCACTGGCTTAGAAAAAAGTCTAGCACATGGAAGAGTGTTCTCTAAATCATGGCTCTTAAGAGATTATTCTTTCCAAATATTCTGGAAAAGTGCACCCCAAATTGTTAATAGGTGCCTCTGGAGAATAGGATCAGAGGATGGGGGACAGATTTCACTTAATTTGTTGGACATGGTTCACTAGAGACAGGGCCTTTTAAAATTCTGCTTCTATGATTTGCTGTTGCACACGGGAAATAACCCGGTTATTCATTGCGACATCTTTTTGGAAACAGTGTAAATGTCATTCAGCTCCAGTTTGTTTTTTTCCTGGTGTATCCCTACAAGTGGTTCACATGCTATGTGACAGGATATAGCTTTTAAGATGCAAATATTCAGTGAAAACAGGGTGCAAAGAATAGGTGCAGTATGTGTCATGGAGTAAAGGACAACCAACTTTTAATTTTCAGATTATGGGTTTGCAGAAATATGGACTCTTGCAGTATAGATCAGGAAGTGGTACCACTGCTTGCCTCCAGAGAGCTTTGGGTAAGTTGGGACAAACCTGCCTAGAAAAGGACTCTGAATTGTGTGTCATGTGGATATTTGTCAAATTCAAAATAATATGACATTTCTAGTGTGTAATCAAGAGCACAGGGCAGTCTGGAATGCCCGGATGAGGGAGGTTGAATGAACCAAGCTGTGAGTTCAGGCAGAAGGATGTGGCTCCCAGTAGCCTCCCATTCCCCAATCCTGCCCGGCCCAGTGGGAGTCCCCAGCTGCCTCTCCTCACCTCATGGCTCGCAGCGCGAGGCGGTAGGCCAGGTCGGGGTCGTAGGGCAGCAGTGCAGTAAACAGGTAACGGGCACAGGTGTGCATGGGCACGCTCTCCCGGAACAGCACTTCTCCAAAGCCGCTGAAAGGACCCCCTGCAGGGGCAGCCTGAGCTCAGCCTCAGGGTGTGGGCTTGCATGGCCCCTCCCCAGGTCTCCCCACACCCCAGGCTCTGAGTGTGGGATGGGCAGACTCAGGATAAAGTGGCTGGGGCTAGAGAGGTCCCGGGGGGGTAGGAGCACAGGGCTAAGACTGAGACAAGCACTGGAAAATCCACAGAAAAGAGACCCCGGGCACCCCTGGATCGGGGGCAGGACTCAGATGCAGGGTGGGGCCAGAGGGTGGAGGTGGGGCTGCACCTGCTCCAGGGGTGTGGCCAAGCCAGCTTCCTTTTGCAGTAGGGGAGGGGCCTCACAAGGCAGGACCGTGGGCAGAGCCAATCAAAGTCTAGCTGGGCATCAGCGACTAGGCTCATTGGCTCCAAAGCGGGCAGGGGGTGGGGGGGCCTCATCACTCGAAGCCGTTATTGGCTGCCAGCACTGCTGGGGGCGGGGTCAAGGTCTGGAGCTCACCTTTTAGGAACTGCCAAGGTATGGAAAGGCAGTAAGGACAAGGAGGTGGAGCTAGGGGCGGGGTCTCCCGATCCAGCAACAACCAGGCCACTACAGTACAGAGGCAGGACCCTATCTTTAAGGAACGGCCAGGCTAGCAGTGGGGCCTCACCTTCCAGCAGCTGTCCCGCCTGCTTGCGCAGCACCTGCACCAGCCGCTCGTCCAGCTCCACCTCCTCCAGCAGGGCCAGCAGCTGCTCCTCGTTGCGTACCACCTTGTCCTGGGCATACAGACCCTCGGGCAGGGCCCGCTGCTGTCCCAGGCCCAGCAGTGCCACCTCTAGCGCCATTGCCAAGTAGGACTCCCCAGGGCTCCCGGGCACCAGGACGTGCTGGTAGGCCACCTTCCGCTTCTCAGGGCCTGAGTCTGTGAGAGAAGGACACCAGGGCAGCTAGAGGGGAACCCCTTTTCCTGGGACTCCAGTGGCCCTTGACCTTAAACATGGACACTGTGTGTGGGGTGGGGGGGAGGTTTAGGGAGAGCCCAGCTGCTCCCGCACACACCGGGGGGTGGGGCCCACCTTCCAACAGCAGATAGGCCTACGGTGGCCTCACTTTCAGGAGAAGCTAAGCCTCTTGGCACCTGGCACTGGCCGAAGGGCGTGGCCTCACTTTCTAGGGGTACTGGGCAAGAGGGCATGGCCAAGAGGTGGTGGTTTTCCCACCTCCTCAAGGGGTCCCCAGTGTGGGTACCTGGGTAAATGGCAAGGGTCTCCTCCTCTAGGTGACAGGCCTCCAAGAGTGCCCTGCAGAGGCAGCCAATGGGGTCCAGGGGGTGGCCCACCCATCCTTCCATGTTGGTGATGCAGGTGGAGCCTTTCTGCAGTAGCTCTGCAGGTAGGAAGAGAGGGCTCAGTGCCCAGCCCCCCTCCACCAAGCCCCCAGGGGGGGCTTCCTCTCCCTGAACCCCAAGCCCAACCTCCCAGTGCCCACTCACCATCTGCCCACCCAGCACCCTTTTCTCTGCCCCTTGAGCTCTGCAGCAGCTCTCACCTCCACGGCCCTGGCCTCCTGTCCCACACCCAGACCCAGGCCTGGCTAAACTGGGTGCTTTCTAAAACATCCAACCAGTGTCGTTCCCCTCCTTATAACCCTTGATCCTTCCCACCTCTCTCAGGCCCAGCCAGCTTTCAGAGCTCCCAAGGACTGATATGAAAGTTTCCCTGGGGTGGTCACCCACCCCACCTGGAAGCCCATCCTCCAATCTCCTCCCACAAGCCGTGCTCTCCCTTGCCTCTGGGCTCCTGCCCATGCTGTTCCTTCTAACTGGAACATTGTGGCTCCCTCCCCTTCTCCTGGGAAACTCCTAAACATCCTTAAGATCTCAGCTTAGCTCTCACCTCCTCTCGGGGGCTAACCCTATGCCTTGAGGCTAGGTCAGGGGTCTGCTCAGATCCCAATGCCACCATTTCTCCCCCATTACACCCTGTATTCAATTTCCTGGTAACTGACCCATCAACTCAACTCCATCACCCAGAGAACACAACTGGTAGCCTCTCTCCTGTCCCCCCATATCTAGTCCACAAACGCGTCCATTTTTGGGCCAACACAGTGTGAGTTTTTGTTTTCCCTAATACAATTTTCAAATTGTTGCCCATATTGAAAAAAATCAGTAAATTCCACATTAGATAATCTGGACTTCTGGCTTCTCTTGAAAAATCAGAAGATCTGGCCACACGGGGTCCATGTTCCTGAAAGGCACGTGGCTAGATCTATAGAAACTACATTTCCCAGACTTCTTTCTGTGAGGTGTGGCAGGTGGGAGAGAATGAGGCCATTACTCTCCTGCAGTAGCTGTGAGCAGGTGTGTGGCTGTCTGCAGGGGACAGACATGAGGTTTGCCAGCAGGTTCTGGGTTGTCCTCTTGGGAACTGCCCTGCCCCCCTGTGAGGGCTACAGCCGTTGCCCATATTGAAAAAAATCAGTAAATTCCACATTAGATAATCTGGACTTCTGGCTTCTCTTGAAAAATCAGAAGATCTGGCCACACGGGGTCCATGTTCCTGAAAGGCACGTGGCTAGATCTATAGAAACTACATTTCCCAGACTTCTTTCTGTGAGGTGTGGCAGGTGGGAGAGAATGAGGCCATTACTCTCCTGCAGTAGCTGTGAGCAGGTGTGTGGCTGTCTGCAGGGGACAGACATGAGGTTTGCCAGCAGGTTCTGGGTTGTCCTCTTGGGAACTGCCCTGCCCCCCTGCGAGGGCTACAGCCTGCTGAACCATCTGTGCTCCTGAAGTTCAAGTGTGTGAAGCCAAGCAGGGGCTTCCCTGACTTTCAATCCTGCAGCCCTTCCTCAATCCCCTGCATTCAATTCTTTTCTGCTCAAGACACCTAGAGGGGTCTGTTTTCCTGTTGTACCCACAGACTCTCCAGGTTGCCACAGCCCCCAGCTGTTGGCATTTGTGTCTGCAGCCCCAGGACATGATGATAATATTGGTGCCCACCTTTTTTCTGCTGCTTGTAGGTCTCAAGCTGATGTCGCCGCTGCAGCCGGAGTGTGTTGACTATGGCGCCTGCCAGTCGCAGGGCCTGGCGGGGGTATCCGTGGGCCCTCAGGGTGTCCACACGTGCACAGGCAGTGGGGAAGGGCTCGCCCAGCCAGAGTGGGCGGCCCTGGGGGTCAAAGGTTGGCTTGTCACCATCCCCATTGCTTGTGAGGCTGGGGCCATAGGAGTCGCTGGCCAGGATCCTCTGCAGGTGGGCGTCACTCCAGTGCAGCGACCCAGCCTGCAGGGCGCGGCCAAACACGGTGTGGCGGGAACCTGCAGCCTCCACCTCCTCCTCCTCCTCCTCCTCCTCTGGGCCTGTGGGAGAGGCGCCCAAATGCAGCCCCATGAGGGGGGCCCTAGCAGTCAGGCGCTGGTCAGCTCTGCCCCACTGAGTGCCAGCTTGGTGTTAGGCTCCAGGTGCAGCAATGAGTGTGTGTTATCTCCCCAAATCCTTCCAGCAGCCTTTTAAAGGTGTGTGTGTGTGTGTGTGTGTGTGTGTGTGTGTGTGTGTGAGTGGAGATATTCTTTCATATGAATGGACAACTGATCTTGAACAACTGTGACTGTCTGTCCATCTTTCTCCCTCCACACTCCATTTTTTCCTCTCCTCTATCTTTCCCTCTCCCTCTCTCCCTCCATCTCTGCCTTTCTTTACTTGTCTCTCTCTTCTCAATACCTGTTTCCTTTTCTATCTGTTTCCCCTACCCCCTGCCGGATTCCTGCCTCCACGGCCAGAAGGAGACTGAGTCAGGAGACCAGCCCAGAACTATAGGGCATCTTAAGTGCCCCTGCCCTGGGCACTCCCTCCTGGCTGGGAGGCAGGCAAGGGCTGGTCCCCCCTGCCCTGCCTCCATTTTCCCCCAGAGTGCCATGATGGGGTGGCTAGGCCACAGGCAGTAGTGATGGTTTGTTCGGGGGAGTGGTGGGGACCCCTCTCCTACCTGGGCTGAGGGCTACGGTGGGCTGCAGGCTGGGCCCATCAAAAGAGTAGTTGCCTTCTTCCAGTGGGCACACATCCAGCTTGTCCCACTTGCTAAGCATCTGGAGCCAGCTCGTCCGCTCCTCTGGTTTGCAGTGGGGGCTCAGGACGATGCACACCCACAGGGCCCCTGAGGAGAGAGGGCAGCAAATGTGGGCACGGGGGAGGCTCAACATCCATGCAACAGGGGCAGCACGCACTTATGGAGTGCCCGCTGTGTGGTGGGCACTGGGCTCAACCCTCACCTCTGGCCTCTGAGGGTGCAGTTCATCATCTCTTCACTTTACAGTCCAGAGAGGTAAAATCACTTGCTCAAAGTCACACAGCTGGGAAGCCACAAGTCAGGACTCAAACCCAGACTACTGGACTCCTTTTGCAAAAAAATTTTTTTCTATAGCACTTATCACCATCTATCACAGGGGGCAGCAAACTACCACCCGTGGAGAAAATTGAACCCGCTACGTGTTTTTGAATGGCCCGTAAGCTAAGATTTATTTTTATATTTTTAAATGGTGGAGGGGGTGGGGAATAAATAAAAAGAACATTTTGTGACTTGTGAAAATGATATGAAATTCAAATAAATAAATAGTGTCTGTAAATACAGTTTTATTGGAATGCTACCACACCCACTTTGTTATGTGTGTCCGTGGCTGCTTTCCTGCTACAACAGATAAAATCGAGTAACAGCGACAAAAACCAAACGGCCTGAAAAGCCAAAACTATTAACTATCTGGCCCTATGGAAAATGTGTTGACCCCTGGTCTAATGGGCTTGTGGGATTTTCTTGTCCGTCTGCCCTACTAGGTGTCAGCTCTCTGAGGACAGGTATTTAATCTCTCTTATTTCTTGCTGTAGTCCCAGCGCTCAGTACAGTGCCTCGTACATTGGCGGTGCTAATGAATGAGGAAGGATTCACGGGCAAGACCCTAATCTCAGGTGGGCAAGCCTGGATGCCTGCCACACTCCGGGGTCTGGGACTTACCCAACTCATCCCACAGCTGGCGGCACTTGTCCGTCATGCCGGCGCCCTGTTGCCGCCACAGGGCCAGGCGCGGATCCTGCAGGAATTGCTCGGTCATGAGGATCAGCATGCGTGCGCCATTGGAGTCCCGCATTCGCAGCATCTCCCGCACCTGCGCCGGACCAAACGGTGAGGAGGGGCGAGGCTCCGGCACCCGGCAGTCTAGTCCCGCCCCCACCCCCACCCCCATACCCGCCCAGCCAGCACCTTGCAGAACATGGAGCGCAGCTGCTGGCTGGCGCCATAATAGCCGCCGTTGGAAAGCAGCTGCTTCACCTGCTCCTGGATCTGCTCCTCGTCCAGGTGCCAGCAGTTGGCGTCCTCGATGCCCGCGCCCGCCGTGGGGTCTGGGGCACCTGTGGGGAGGGAGAGAAAGCTGAGGCTGGGGCTGGGGGGAGGGGGTGTCTGTCATCCAGTCCTTCAAATCACCCAACCCATCCCAGAATTCCATCCATCCCACCTGAAAACCCATCCATCCATCCATCCATCCATCCACCCATCACCTTACCCCAAACATCACCTACCCACCCATCTAAACCACTCAACCATCTGTCCACACCCCCATGCCATGCCATGCATCTTTCCATCCACACCATAACCCTTAGCACACCTACCTACCCCATTAGTCCATCATCCACCCTGCCCATAACTCCCACCTTCTCACATCTATATACCCATCCCACCAGTCCATCCATCCACCTACCCACCCCTATTTGTCTTTCCAGCTCATCTGTACTAACCACTCAAATTACTCACTGACCTATTCATCCACTGACCTACACAACTCTGCTATCCATCCATCCAATTAACCCAAACTTTCCATCTATTCTTTCTCCACCAACCACCCTTCATATGTATCTCCCCCAACACCCACCAGCCCATTGGTCCATCCATACATCCTACACAAAACACCCACCTACTCGATCCATCCACCATGTTAGTCCTCGCATAAGAACATTCATGCATGCATCAACTCACCCTCAATCCATGCACCCCTTGGTCCTTCCAGTCTTCCACCAACCCCATCTGTCCACTACCTCAAACTCCCCAATCAAAGCCCATCCCATCCAACCCTACCACCAATTACTACCAACTCCCTATTCACCTACCATCCTAGTAAATCACCCATACACTCATTCCATCCATTTTTCCACACCAACAGTTCACCCCAACACCCCATCATGAACACCTTCTATATCCACCGATCGCCACCCTCAAATATCCATTCATGCGTCCACCCACTAAGCATCCGTCTACTCACCCACCATCCTACTCCATCCTTCCATCGTTATAGTTAAGCAACACTTGGAGCTCCAAACCACCCCAGAACTCATAACACCTCCTGGTCTATCTCCTACCCTATCCCACCTCTGACACTCACTAATGTCCACACATACTCCTTATGACCTCCACACACCCATACTCAGGCCTGCTCCTGTGATCTTGAGACACCCCCACCCTGGGGCTGGATCTTCCCACTGGCTGATTTCTTGACCATTCATCTGCCCAGGGCCAGATCAAATCCAGGATCTGCCACTTACTGAGGTGTGTGATCCTTTTTCTTTTTTATAACGTCTTTATTGGAGTATAATTGCTGAGGTGTGTGATCTTGACCTCATGCAGTGGTGCTCCCCCACCCCTGCTCATGGATCAAGGGTACTTCTGGGTTTTTTTTGGCTGCACCATGTGGCTTAGGGGATCTTAGTTCCCCAACCAGGGATTGAACCTGGGCCGCAGCTGTGAAAGCACTGAGTGCTAACCACTGGACCACAAGGGAATTCCACAGTCAGGGGTACCTTTGGATGCTGTGACAAATGCCTGTGGCACAGCAAGCGAGATGGCTGTGAGCTGGGGCCTCGCTGACCCATCAGACCTTGGGGCGCCCTTACCATGCACCAGGTTGATCTCGGAGCCCAGGAGGAGGATCTCGTCCGCCAAGCGCTGAGCAGTGGGCAGCACCTCAGTGTGGTGGGCACTGATGAGGTACTGCACGAACTTCTGCAGCTGATCCCGGTTCATCTGGGAGAGTGTCTCGGAGATGGGTAGCCGCAGCTCCACCTGGCGGGCATGCCGAATGCGATACAGCGACAGGGCCACCACATGAGCACAGTAGAAGAGGTCTCGGTTGTCGCAGCCGCAGCTCACGGATGTGATCTTGCAGCGGTCAAAGCTGATGGAGACATGGTAAAGGCGCTCGGGCTCTCCAGGGCCCCCTGGCTCCCGGATATTTCCGCTCAGGTGGAACCCTAAGACCAAAACCAAATTGTCACTGCTGTGTCACCCCAGAGATGGGTAATCTTTTCCATGGTGCAGAGCAAGACCAGGTGCAAATCCCAGCTGAGTAACCTAGCACAAGTCACTTAACCTTGCTGTGCCTCAGTGTCCACATCTGTGAAATGGGAACAAATAGTAACATCCTCCTCATGCTTTTGTAATGAGGATGAAATGGGTTAATATTGGCAAGTGCTTAGAACACTGTTGGCAGATAGTAAGTGCTAAATAAATGTTTGTTCTTCTTCTAATTCTGAATAATATTATTACAGCAATGCTGTTGAAAATAATTTTCTTAGCCCTTGGGTAATCATGGATACAGCCCAGGCTCCAGGTGCCCTGTCACTTCCTGGGAAGATACCAAAGATACTTGGGGGGCGAGGGATTGATGTGGCCGGCCAGGGGCCAGGTCACCCCATCACCCCCCACCCCTCCCTGGCCCCTGGGGAGCCCAGATGCCAGGCTCATCTAACTGGTTGGGCAGCTCAGGCCCCAGCTGGCCCTGGCTGCGTCATGCAGGGAGACGGCGGCTTCCTCATACCGGCTGGAGGTGGCCGAGCCTATGGCCAGCTGGGTCATGTCCAGGCAAGGGGGCCCCCAGGCTGACAGGGCTCAGAGAGGGTCATCTTGGCTGAGCCCCTGCCTCCAGCTGGGAGACATGACCTGCCCCCATGGGAGGTATGGCATTCCAGGGCTTACCTGCCTTCTAGCTCAACCTCTACTGGTTCCCTTCTGAGCCTTGCTGCCTGAGGTCTAGAATCATCTTTCATCGCTAGCTCTAAACCTCCACCCCTTCCCCTCACCTGGACCCTGCTGCCTGGGGTTTAAGACCACTCCTCACAGATGATCCCCAGCTTCCACCCTAGACCCCACGAAAGCCTCGTTGCCTTAGGTCTGAGACCATTCCCAAACCTCTGAACCCAACCTCCACCTGAGTCTTTCTGCCTGACGTCCAAGACTGTCACTCATCACTGGCTCTGAAACGTTGCCACTCTCACGGAGGACGCTGCAGCCTGAGGTCTAGGATCATCCTTACCTCTGGCTCTAAACCTTGGACCCAGAGCATCCCTGGGTCCCTCTGTCTGAGGTCTGGAACCTCCTCTCACTTCTGGTTTACAATCACTCCTCAAAACCACTGCCTCGGGCTTCCCTGGTGGCGCAGTGGTTGGGAGTCCGCCTGCCGATGCAGGGGACACGGGCTCGTGCCCCGCTCCGGGAAGATCCCACATGCCGCGGAGCGGCTGGGCCCGTGAGCCATGGCCGCTGAGCCTGCGCGTCCGGAGCCTGTGCTCCGCAAAGGGAGAGGCCACAACAGTGAGAGGCCCGCGAACCGCAAAACAAAAACAAAAACAAAAAACCCCCACTGCCTCGGCCCTGCCTTCTTCCCTGCTCTCCCCGCTATCCTACCACCTCTACCCCTATGCCTCAACTAAGCTGACTGAGGTCAAGGCAGATCCCTGATCTTGAGCTCATAATATCTTGTACAACCCTCCCTGGGCATCAAAGCCTGACATTTGGAAACTCCCCCAGCCCTCCATGTCTGCCTTGGACCCCCTGGCCTCCCTGGCAGGGGTAGGGGGCAGGCACTCACCCACTTGCAACACACGATCTACGGCCCCGCTCTGTAGCAGGTGCAGTCCACGGGTGAAGGGCACCCGGGCATCGTGCTCACCCTCCGGGGGCTGGTAGCCCAGTGATGAGTACATGCATATCTCCCGCTCGCTGCGTGGAAACGACCAGAACACGATGCGCTTCTGGACTGGCTCCGGCACCCGGGAGAACCGCTCCTCAACCTGTGGGAAGGCCCGGCGTGTTAGAAACCCTGGCGCTTGAATCCTGGCTTTGCTGCTTACAAGTAGTATGACCTTGGGCAAGTCACTTTGCCTCTATGAGCTTCGGTTTTTCTCGAGTGTAGGATGTTAAGAGCACCCGCCTTCTGGGTGTCATGAGTATTACATATGCACTAATATATGTACAGCGCTTACAATAACACCTGGCCTATTGTTAGTGTTCTGGAACTTTCTGCTGCTTCCCTCCTGGATGTCAGGTCTCAGGGTCCTAATGTAAGGTAGTCTCACCTCTCAGGCTTTGAGGGGGGACGAGGAAGGAAGACAAATGTGATAAGAAGACCAGTGATCAGGCCTACATGTTCTTAGCCTACATTGTGCTAAATGCTTTATGTGTGCGATTTCCCTTAATTCTCATAGCAACAACCCAGTATTTTTGCAGTCTGGGGAATCTGAGGCTCAGAGGCGGAGTGAATTCACTTGTTCAGCTCCCAAGACAGGCTCTCTGTTCCAGCTGCTAAGGGTTCTCAGGAAGGGAGGGGTGTCCTGCCCACCCCTGGGGGCTTTGGGCAATGAACTGATCTGGTTGAGCCTGCGTTCCAATCCAGGCTTGCTACTCACTGGCTGAGTGTCCTGGGCAAGTTTCTCAACCTCTCTGTGCCCCAGTTTCCTCAAAGAAGGAGAACAACTCCCAAAAGGCTGCAGAGGATTCCGTGAGTTTCTGCAGGGCAAGAGCTGTCCTAGGGCCAGACCTGCCCAGGGCAGGTACATGGGAGCCCTGGAGAAGGTTTTAGGATTACTCTGGGGGGGTCTCACACACAATGAAGGGGCAGGGACCTTTCAGAGCCTGGTTTGAAAGGGAAGGGGAGGACCAGTGACTGGCCCAGGCCTCGGGGACAGTTGGCAGATGACTAAGGAGAGATTTTCCAGGCCATGAATCAGAGCCCGCCCCATCCACACTTGGCCCAGACCCATCAGTCGCAGCAGACTCACTCTGGAGAGGCCAGGGAGCAAAGAAAGCCCCCCAAAGCCAAACAGAGGACAGAGCCTGTGGGGGCTAAGGAAGGCTTGCTCAGGTCCTGGCCACAACCCAGCTCCTTGGGGACCCACACTGAGGCTGGGAAAGGGGACTTTGCCCAGCCCTGGGGCATCCTGGCAGGGCCCCCCAGAAGTTATAGGGGCAGGACTCCAGGTGCACCTGTCCGGGTATCGAAACCCAGGCCCCACACCTGCTGCCAAACTCTGGAAGGACTGAGATGGCTGGGGGGCAAGGGGAGAGTGAGCATGGGGTAATGGGGAGTGGGGACTGACGATGGAGCAGTCTCTGCAGCCAGCTAGGAAGGGCTGGGCCGCCCCAGGTGGGAGGCAGTTCCGGAATTACTGAGGCGTGTGTGAGTGTTAGTGCCTGCGGGAAGGATCTGCAGGAGAGGACGGGGGTCCCCATGGGACAGGTAGGTTCTGGAGGCTGGAGGCAGGGATTGGAGACAGAAAGGGGTGTCTTGGGGCTGGGATCTATATAAGTGGGGGATTCCTCTACTGGGGGTGTAGGACAGAGATCTGGAGTCTCTAGGTGCTGAGATCTGCTCTGTTCCCAAGTCGGGGCGGGTTGTAGGAGTTGGAGAGAGGAGTGAGGATTGAATGGGGTGCCCTAATTGGGGGATGAGGATAAGGTGGGAAAAGAGAGGTACCCAGGGTTGTGAGAGGACCATGGGGCAGGAGGAGAGAAAGTGTCCCGAGTTGGGATCTGGGGCACTGAGGGAACCCCTGGGTCTTGTGGGCCGAAGGGCAGAGCTGCTGGGCAAGGGATGGGGGTGGGTCATAGGGTTTGAAGGAGTGAGATGGGAGGATGAGGGCATGTCTCGGGCAGAGTTAAGGATCTTGGAGGAGATCTCTGGGGGTGTCTCCGATGGAGGCAGGTCCGGAGGCTGGAATCTGGACAGGGGGCGAAGGTATGTCGGGGACGGGGCTGGGAGTGGGTCCCTCCCCACCGCACTCCTCGGTCACCTGCTCGAAGGCCCAGCTCTCGGCTACTCGCTTGGCGCTGAGGTCCAGCAGCGCTTCGGGTCGGCCCCGGCCTCGCACTGCCCCGGCCCCGGCGTCGCGCTCCTCCGGTCCCGCGGGGCAGTCCCGGCTCCGCTTGGCCGCGGGGGGGTCCATCCGGCCTGGCCGGGGCCGGGGCGGGGCCTGTGTGTAGTGGGGGGTCGGTCCGACGCCTACTCCGCCTCACCGGCTCCCGCGACCCCTGCCCGCCTTCCTGTCCTTCGTCCGCGCTCGGCCGCCCCGGTACTCGCTCCGCACCCACCCCCGGGCCGGCGGGGTGATGCGGCCCCTTTAAGACCCTTCACAACAATGAAGCTGCCTCGGCCTCCGCTTTATCCTCGGCCGTCGTTCCGCCCCCACCGCCCGTCCCCATTGGCCCCCCTTCGGCCTCCGAGGCCCTCCTCCGCCATTGGCTGCACCGCCAGATCCGTCTCCAAGTAGCTGCTGTTCATTCGTTGTATGCACTGCCTGTCTTTTCGGGACTACCCATTCATGGCGCTCAGCGAGCAGCGCTGTCAATCACGGGACGCCGGAGGCCAATCACAGTGGGAGGAGGCCGCCGGCGCCGGCCTTAAGCGGAGTTTCGGGGCGGGTCCTGGGTTCATTCACAACATTCCTCCCCCGCCCCACTAGGGCTGGACAGCGCTCCCCGGGCAGCTGGGGCTGCGCCCACACAAGGCTTTGTTTACTGAGGGTCGCTTCCGGGCGCCGCGAGGGGACAATCAACACTGCTCGGCCCGGGAGCGAGACAGAGCGGCGGGATCCCCGGGCAGCCCCTCAGCCCCGCCTCCCTCTGGGCTGTGTGACGAGAAATTCAGCCTCTTTGGGCGGCGGGTCAAGTTTTGATGCTTTGCGGGATGGAGGGATCACAGGTCCCTTGGTAGAGTTTATGGGGGCTGCGGACACCCTCGCTAGAAATAGAGCCCAATGCAAGCCCATCCTTGAGCCCCAAGCTAAGAATCTCCAATCCATTCTATGCCCTATATATTACGTTAAGTCCTATGAAATTACTGATTTTCAACAATTTTTGATACACTAAATGGCAATTTCATAAGGTCCAACGTAATAGATGTCAAATCCGACCACCTCTGATTATTTTTTCTGATTCAGCTTGTCTAGGTCACATCTCTTGATGTGACCTTGAAGCAGGCGGTGGTACTCATCGCCGGTCCCCGGTGCCACCACCCCTGCCATCTCCATGTTGCTAGAGAACCCTGCATTTCCCCCTCGCCACACTTCTCTCCGTTATTATTACGTTTCTTTATCTATTTCAGCAGTTGTTTAATTTCTGTCTCTCCCTGCTTCATGGTGAGCTCCAAGGGGCAGTCTAATTGTCTAACTGATGCACTGCTTTACCGCCTGCACCTGAACACCTCCGGACATACAGCAGTCACTCAATCTATATATAACTTGTTGAATGAACCAGCTCATGCTTTGCTCCCATTCCACTGAAATGATCTAAGAGCAGGAAAACCGAAGCTGGCCCCTAAGTGGCCTGATTGCTGCCGCCTGCCTCTCCCCACATGGAAACTCTGCCTTTTTCCTTCCAGGAATTTCCAGTTTCACAGCTGCATTTTCTGGCCAGTCCCCAACCCACCCTTCAGTAAACTCCCTCCGACCTGCACTGTCCAGTATGGTCACCACTGGCCACAAGTGGCCTCTGAGTCCTTGAAATGGGACCAAGCTGAACTGGGCTGTGCTGTCAATGTAAAACACATTGGATTTTGGAGACTAAATAGAAAAAAAAGAAGGCAAAATATGTCATTAAGAATTTTTTATATTGATTACATGTTGAAATAATACTATTTTAGATGTTTGTGTTAAGTAAAATACATTATTAAAATTAATTCCACCTGTTTCATTGTGTATTTATTTTATTTTATTCTATGCAGTATCAGGACATTTAAAGTTACATATGCAATTTGGATTGTAATTTCTATGGGACAGCAGTGGTCTTGAGAAACCACAGCTGACCACAATGACAACAATGAAACAACAATAATAATAATGTACTGATTGCTTATGTGGTGCTCTAGCTGTTCAGACACATTATCAGATGTAAGCCTTCCAGCAGTGCTGCAAAATGGGGATGTCATCTCCATTTCTCATCTGAGGAAACTGAGGCTCAGAGAGGTGGAGTTCTTGTTTTGTTTTGTTTTTGTTTTTTTTTTTGCGATACGCGGGCCTCTCACTGTTGTGGCCTCTCCCGTTGCGGAGCACAGGCTCCGGACGCGCAGGCTCAGCAGCCCCGGCTCACGGCAGTATGGTCACCACTGGCCACAAGTGGCCTCTGAGTCCTTGAAATGGGACCAAGCTGAACTGGGCTGTGCTGTCAATGTAAAACACATTGGATTTTGGAGACTAAATAGAAAAAAAAGAAGGCAAAATATGTCATTAAGAATTTTTTATATTGATTACATGTTGAAATAATACTATTTTAGATGTTTGTGTTAAGTAAAATACATTATTAAAATTAATTCCACCTGTTTCATTGTGTATTTATTTTATTTTATTCTATGCAGTATCAGGACATTTAAAGTTACATATGCAATTTGGATTGTAATTTCTATGGGACAGCAGTGGTCTTGAGAAACCACAGCTGACCACAATGACAACAATGAAACAACAATAATAATAATGTACTGATTGCTTATGTGGTGCTCTAGCTGTTCAGACACATTATCAGATGTAAGCCTTCCAGCAGTGCTGCAAAATGGGGATGTCATCTCCATTTCTCATCTGAGGAAACTGAGGCTCAGAGAGGTGGAGTTCTTGTTTTGTTTTGTTTTTGTTTTTTTTTTTGCGATACGCGGGCCTCTCACTGTTGTGGCCTCTCCCGTTGCGGAGCACGGGCTCCGGACGCGCAGGCCCAGCGGCCATGGCTCACGGGCCCAGCCGCTCCGCGGCATGTGGGATCTTCCCAGACCGGGGCATGAACCCGTGTCCCCTGCATCGGCAGGCGGACTCTCAACCACTGCGCCACCAGGGAAGCCCGAGAGGTGGAGTTCTTGCCTGACTGGGTAGCCTTAGACTTATTAGAGCATGTCTTTCTTGCAAGGATTTGAGGCAAAGATAGACTTATGGGGAAGGAGAAATGGGTGGGGAGAAAAGCAGGGAGAACATCAGTGAAACAAGTCTTTCAGGTGCTCCCCTAGCAAACAGGTCCCAGGGTCCAGGTTTTCCAAGCAGCCCCCTTCAGCATTTAGTATGTGGCTGGCGCTTGTCCCTGAGGATGCTTCAGTGGATGTCCTGAGATGCTGAATCAGAAAAGGCACTCCAGGCCAGTGGAACAGGATGTATAGGAGGAATAGAGAATGGGACATCACAGGGTGAGGATGTTTTATTTTATTCTCTCACAAGAGATACTAATATTTTCATCATCCCCATCTCATGGATGAGAAAACTGAGGCACAGAAAGGTCAGGTGACTTAACCTAGGTCCACAGCAGGAAAGGGTAGGGCCAGCATTCAAGCCCTGGTGGGTGGGCTGGTCTTGTCACATTGGCTGGGGATCAAATGCACAGTTTGGGAAACACCAACATTCTATTCCGTTCCTCTGATTTTACAGATGAGGGCAATGAGGCCCAGAGAGGGTCAGAAAGTTGCCCAAGGCCACACAGCAATCCCTGGAGAATGTGAGAAGTCAGAAAGGCCCTTGGGAAAATGGGGGTTGCCTCCAGGATGGAGTCTCCAAGACCGCTTCATGCCTACCCTCTTCCTAGCAACACTTTTAGGAAAGGTGACGTTGCAAGGGGTGTTCTAGCTACCCGCGAGTCCTCCCTTCTCAGTGTAGCCAGCGAGTTTGGGCCTCAGGAAAATGGAACCACATTTATCCCGCCTGCCGTTGTGAGCTCGCTGTCTAGGCATCCACAGCTCCTGACCCCAAACCCACATGTGTACTGACATCAAGACCCATGAGAAACAGGGTGACTCTGAAGGCTGGGATGAGGGGGCCCATGGCCCCCCCACCCCCCAGTTCTGTGCCACCCCATCTAACATTCTGAGGGTCCCTCCCTGTGCCAACCCCCCTGAAGCACCCCAATGCCCCTGTTGACTCAGGCAGGAAACCAGCCAGGGCAGTTTTACTTCCTGGTCCCGATGCAGCCCCTCTGGGCTGCCCAGCTGGCAAGATTTGTTTCTTACATTTCTTCTCTTCCCTTTTGGAACACAAGTTCATGGGCAGAGAGTCAGGGCCCTGCCAGGAAAAAATGGGCATTCCAGGCAGAGGGGGAAGGTGGAGGCAGGAGAGGAAAAGGCTTGAGCAGGAATAATTGTCTGAAAAGCAACATTTAATGACTGCCCTGGCCCTGGGGAGTGGGGAGGGGCAGGGGAAAAGGCAGGGAGTAGACAGGCTGAGTGGCTGGAACTGGGCTTCCCTCCCCGTCCAGGAAAACAAAGGCAGCTGTCACAGTCTTCAGGCTCCCCACATTTCCACACTCAGGGAGGGGTGTTAGGGTCTCCATTTAACAGATGAAGAAACTGAGGCTCAGAAAGGGACTTGCTGAAGAGAACAAGAGGTGTAGGGATTTCCCAAAATCTGGGGCTCTTGGCTGCGACACTAATGGGGGATTTGTGGGCAGGACCCACATGCTAGGAAGGACCTAGCATGGGAGGGAAAAGTCACCCAGGTCAGTGATGGGGTGGAGGGTGGAGGTGGTGGGAAAGTGAGGCTGTTTGGGGAGGCCGAGGGAGTGGGGTGAAGAGGGAACAGGTGGGTTGACATTCCAGATCGGAAACCTGTCACACCTGAATGCCTTTCCTCACCCCTGGGGTCCCCCCTCAAAGGGGCTGGCGTCAGAGGGACAAAGGGAGCCAGTTTACAGGAGTCCTTGGCTAGCCCGGGCGCCGCCAGCGGCAGTGGGCTTGGCCCGGGTTGGAGGCGCCTCCTGGTGGCTGAGGGAAGCGCCAGATGGCACCCAGAGCCCAGCCGGTCCCACCCCTCACCCTTTCGAGATTCCAGATAGAAAGGTTAAAAGATGATTTTCAAAAGCGGGTGCAATCAAGGCTTTCACCGACAAATAGAGACGAACACGTGTTAAGATTTTTTTATTGAACTCCTGTGGGAACCAGGCAGATGTTATACGAGGTTCAAAAGAGAGTCCGGAAAACGGGCACTTTTACAACAGATCAGACTATTTGAGTAAATAAACGTGCGAATGGAGGCAAATTGGTTTTTCCACAGGGGAGGGGGGCTGTCAATGGAACCTCAGCTGCATGGGCCAGAATGAGCAGATAAAGAGTGGTTCTGTATTGCTATCAGTTGCTTACACTTCATGGATGGAGCTGTGAAATAGTTCAAAGACGCTGTTATGAACCAGCTAACCCGGAAGGGAAGGGCGTGTTGCATAGAGATGATGCTTTGAATGGTCAGAACTGATTTACTGAGATGCAAAATGTTCCTTGCAGAAAGAAACAATTCCTTCCTTCCTTCATTCAACAAACACCTGTTCCTGGAGCAACTATTGTGCGCTGTTTCAGGTGCTGGAGACACAACAAAGATGCAAAGTAGAAAACGGATGAGAGTGGCACAGAGTGACCCCTTCCAGGAGCAGGGGACAGAGAACGATTCTCTGAGGTGACACCTGGGAGGGGGAAGGAACAGGAGGTGAAAAAGGCCAGGGGGCAGGACTGGGTGGAGGCGGGGGTCTGGAGGGGGTGGCCTGGGGCTTGTTTTCTGTTCTCCCCACTAGAATGTCAGTTCTCAGCTCTACCTAGCCCAGAGGTTGGCATGCAGTAGGCGCACAATAAATGCCCAACGTGCAAAGCGACTCCATATCAAAGGGCAGAAGTCACTCGCTGTCTGCTTAGGGGAGAGCCTGCTGTGAGGTGGGCAGATGGCAGGAGGGTCCAGGTCCCGTAGGTGGGGCTCAAGGAACGGTATACTCTGGGCATCACAGAGCCAAGCGGCAGCCCTGCCCTCCAGTCCCGGGTCTGGGCCCCATCCCCCACCCCCTCTCCCCCCCCTAACAGAAACCCTGAGCCCCGGGCCCCAGACAACTCCAAACTGTGAAGTCTCGCCATCAAATTAGGGCTCTGCTGCCACAATTCCTGTGTTTTTGAGATGTAAATCAGGATTTTTTTTTTTTTTTTTTTTGCATGTGAAATTACCGTTCCTGCCTTTTCCGGGGGTTAAAACTCACATGGAAAATACACCATTTAGAAGGGTATAATTCAGTGGCACTTAGCACATTCACAACATTTGCAACCACCAACTTTACCTAGTTTCAAAACCTTATCACCTCCCAAAGATGACCCCATACCCATTTGCTGTCACTCCCCATTGCCCCTTCCCCCAGTTCCTGGCACCCCATAGAGAACCACCGTCGCTATGGATTTGCCTCTTCCGGACATTTCACATGAATGGAATCACACATTATGTGGCCTTTTGTGTCTGGCTTCCTTCAGAATGTTTTCCAAGTTCACCCATGGTGAACTGTATCATTCTGTTTTATGGCTGAATAATACTCCATCCTGCGGATAAACTACACTTTGCTTATCCAGCCATCTGTTGGCAGCATTTGGGTTGCTACCACCTTTGGGTGACCATGACTGGTGCTGCTGTGAACGCACGTGTACGAGATGCTGAGTCTGTGTTCGATCCCTTGGGGTGTGTGCCTGGTGGGCAACAGCTGGGTCATGTGGTAACTCCAGCCTGAACTTACTGAGGAGCCACCAAACTGTTTTCCACAGTGTTTGTCCCTTGCTTTTAAGAAAAATGTTGGGAGTTCAGTCACCCACCTCGGGGGAACAGCCACTGCACTCCCACCTCCCTCCAAAGACAGTGGATCAGCCGACCCCACAGGCACAGCTGATGTTTCAGGGGAGGGCAGCCCAGGATGGAACACAGCAGAAACTTGGTCTGTTAAGAGAGGCAGCAGATGGGCAGCCGAGAACACGTACTGGGGCTCTGCCAGTGCCGGGTTCAAGTCCCTGCTCTGGAATGTTAATGTGACCTGACCTGGGCATCGTGAGGACTGAGGTGATGTGTAGAAAGCACCAGAGCAGTGCCAGGGCCACAGGCAGCGCTTCATACTTGCTGTTATGACTTATGACTTTTTTTAAAGATCGAGGTGGCACTGAGAAGTTTATAAGCACATTCTGGTTTAATCGGCATTTTGACTCTACAAGGTGGTGTCAGTACCTGTCCTGCAGATGGGAAAGTGACTCCCTAGGCTGCCTGGCCGGTCCCCGGCAGCTGGGGTGACACAGGCATGTCCGTGGAGGGTACGTAGGTGAGTCACCCAAGGCAGGAGGAAAGAACACTCTCCCCTGGTTCCCAGGCTGGAGGTACAGAAGCCCATTTGTCCTTCCCTGGCATGTGGCTAGTCTCCTGTGGAAACTGCTGTGGATGACCTGGTCAGGGCACCTGGCCCCAGGCCCCAGCACGTCCTGCTCACAGGAGCACGTGACCGAGCATGTGACCGTAGGAGGAATGACAAAGTCAGGTTTATTGCTCCGGGCTAAACCAGTGGAGACAGGATGTGGGGAGGGGTAGGGGGACACAGGAAGCTGGTGAAGGCGTCCTCCTGGCCTTGGCCTGCGCTTGACCTGGCCTTGGCACCCTGGGAAGCCAGCCAGTGCACTTCTGACCTGCTGATCACCTGCTCACGGGCCAGGCCCCCAGTAAAGTTTGAGGCGCAACCCAAGGCTCTGGGGAGCACGGCCTCTCCTCCCTGCACAGGTCTGAGCACAGACAGGGTTGCGGTGATGGCCTCTGCTGGGGTACATCCTTAGGAAGGCGTCTTGGTGGAGGAGGGGGCTGCTGCCTTCTTTTGGGTGGGGGCCTTCAACAGTGCCAGCTTCTTGGGCAGACTGGTGCTGGCTTTCATCAGCACATCATGTTCAATCTTCTTTCGGATCCCGACCTCCAGGTTCTGAGGGAGCAACCATGGCACAATCAGACTGGGACCTGAGGCGGGAGGGAGGGCCTGGTCTGCTGCCCTTTCTCCTGTGAGCTCAAAAGGGGCTGCATCAGCAACTCCCCCCGAAACAACACCTGAGAGTCTGGTGGCTGGGGGTTAAGTCCTGCTTCTGCCCCATACTCTGGAAACACTGCACACCGAAAAACCCCTTCTCATCTCTGGACCTCAGCTTCTAAACCTCTGCCCATTTCCATTTTATAGCTGGGGAAACTGAGGCACATGCAGTGAGGAGGCACTTGCCCAGGATTCCCAAATCATGTGAGTGATAGGAGACTGGAACCCAGCACGCCCAGAGTCTCCAGCCTCAGCCTCCAGGCGGGCAGCCTCCCCTTGTCTCTGCTTTGCTAATGGTGAACTGGGGCTCTGAGAAATAGGGGTACAGGCAAGTAAAGGCACAGGAATCAGAACCCAAGTGTTTGGGTCCAAAACTGGTAGTTTAATCATATTACCTAAACTGCTCCCTTGCCCTGCCTATGAGTTCCAATGACCATGACAACCATGACCGTCACCACACGCCTGGGCGCAAGGGAAACAACAGCAAAGACACAGAAAAACCTCTGCCCTCATGAAGCTGACATTCAGTGCGTGTGGACAACACAGCTGTCAGTGACAAATTCTGGTAAACCACTTTTTTTTTTCTTTGGCCACGCCCAGTGGCAAGCGGGATCTTCCTTCCCCAACCAGGGATCGGAACCGGAACTGGCGCCCCCTGCAGTGTAAGCGCAGAGTCTTAACCACTGGACAGCCAGTGAAGTCCCTCTGGTCAACTGTTGAAGGATAACAGATGACAAGTGCTGCTATGGAGAAAAGAATACAAGGGATGATGAGTGAGGGATGGGGTGGGGTTGCCATCAGGGATAGCTGCTCAGAAGCAACGCTTGCAGCCAGACTTGACTTGGAGGAAGGAAGCCGTGTAGATTTCTGGGAGAAGAATCCAGGCGGAGGAAACAGCTAGTGCAAAAGTTCTGAGGTGGGGCAAGGAGCAGTTAAGGGGCCAGTGAGGCTGGAGGAAGAGAGGGAGGAGGTGAGGGCAGGGAAAAGACAGGAGTAGAGTGTGCCGGGTCCTGTGGGCTGTGGGGAGAACCTGGGCTCTTCCTGAGTGAGGTGGGAGCCACCAAGGGTTCTGAACAGAGAAGGGAAGTGCCCTGATTCAGGTGCTCACAGGTGCCCTCTGGCTGCTATGGGGAATGGTGGCGCCAGGAGATCTGGGAGGATGTGACTGCCCTGGTCCAGGTGGGAGATGATGGGATGGGACCAGGTTGGGGGGTCAGAGAGATGGGAAGTGGGTGGAATCTAGATTAATCCTGAAGGCAAAAAGGAAGAGATCCAACCTGGATGTGAGAGAAAGGGGGAATCCCGAGTATCTGGAAGGAGAGACTGTGGCAGGATCATGGTGGAGTCGGGGAGCACAGTGGGGGTAGGATCAGGACCCTGGTTCTGGACATACTGAGCTTGAGATGCCCATGGGACACTTTCCCCCTCCGGCTGAGACATGGAGGTAAGCAGGTTGCTGGGTACCCAGGTCTAAGAAAACTGAGGCTCTGGCGATCCAGGGGTTAAGATACCATCTTCCACTGCAGGGGGCACGGAGTTCAATCCCTGGCCGGGGAACTACTGAAAGCTGTGTAGCGCAGCCAAAACAAAAAACAAAAAACTGAGGCTCTAAACAATTTGCTCAAGATTATAGGGTGAGTTAGTGTGTGTTGTACAATTAGAATTCAGGTCTGACTCCACCAGATCTCTTTGTAACTTCTCTTTGCAACCTTAACAAAAATCTCTTTGCAACTTCTTTATAAGATCAACCCTATTCACCTGCACACGAAAAAGCTACACTTAAAAACAACCACAAAAACGTTTATTTCAGCCCTGTGCTGTTCTCAGGGCTTTACAGGTGTCCTATGGCATTGAATCCTTACAACTCTAGGAGAAAAGTGCTATCACTACAACCATTTCTTCTTTAAGAAGCTCAGGGTGAAGATATACTAGCTGTCGATGGAACTGCGCTTTGCTCCCAGCACTGCCTTCTTGCAAAGCTGGGGTTTTCAACCCCTTTCCCAGGCTGCCTTCCCTCTCCAGCTCTATTAACGAGGACAATTTCAGCGAAAGCAGCTAGTGTGTGCTGAACACATTTTGCGCGCCACTCGTGGCTTTAGGAGTCTCACTGATTGGGAGGTAATGTTTCCGTACCCACTGCACAAGGGTGGAAACTGAAGCTCACAGCACGGGGAGTTCTCCATCCCCGGCCTCTCACACGCTCGTACTCACCTTCTTGAGCTTCTGCTGTTGCACGATGCGTGCCTTCTTGGGTGCGATAACGAGACCTGGGGAGAGATGCGCTCTCGTGAGGCCGGAGAACCTCGGGCCCACCTCGCCCCCCAGTCCCCGGCCCGCTCCTCACCGCCCTTCCTCGGGCCCCGGTTCCGCTCCGAGGCTGTCGCCGCTGTCTTGCTCTTCGCCGGTTTCCGCGCCTGGAACTTACGCTGCCCCTGCGCCATGATCCGTCATGCACCGGAAGAGGCGGGGCTGTGGGAGGTCGCAGACGAAAAACGCAGGGCACGATGGGATAGAGTGGGGCCGGAGGGCGCAATGGCTCACGGGATACAACGTGGCAAAGAGTTAAAGTGACCACTACCCACGACGGTCGATGATAGCCAGCATTTCGCAAAAATTTCGAAGTAAAGGTTGTAATGATAAGCTAACACTTACTGGGTGCTTATCTGCTTTATAAAACTTATGCTGTTTTATGCTCTTTATACATAAACTTCAAGTCTAGGACTTACGGTCAGGCAAGTGAGGCACTCTGGTGCAAAATTTAAGGGGTGCCCTGAACTTCAGTTATCAAGATAAAAATATATTCAACATTCAAAAATAATATTTTAATACAAAGGAAATCAAATCGTCCAAATACAGCCTGTGGACTGGCTGCTTGATGTTGTAGATAAAGTTTTGTTGGAACGAGGGCTGGTATCAGGAGTGAAGGGAGTAGGGTCAGGATATGCAAGGTCAGGGTTTCGTTCTATTTCATATCTTTATATTTTGTTCACCATGGATTGTTTTTGCATTAATTTTGATTTTTCAAAAGTAATGCATGAAGCTATTCTTTATCTTGACTACTGAGCTTCTCAGGGCCTCCTCTAAAATTTTGCACCTGAGGTGTCACCCTAATTCCAGCCCTGAGAGCAACCAAAAAGGGAGGTACTAGTATTGTCTCCATTTTGTAAATGAGGAAAACAAAGCGTGGAGAGGTGAAGTGATTTGGCCAAGATCACACGACAGAAAAAGCGGTGGAGGACTTCCATGGCGGCGCAGTGGTTAAGAATCTGCCTGCCAGTGCAGGGGACACGGGTTTGAGTCGTGGTCTGGGAAGATCCCACATGCCTCAGAGCAACTAAGCCCGTGTGCCACAACTACTGAGCCTGCGCACTAGAGCCCACGAGCCACAACTACTGAGCCCGCCTGAGCCTGCGCACTAGAGCCCACGAGCCACAACTACTGAGCCCGTGTACCACAACTACTGAAGCCCGAGCGCCTAGAGCCCGTGCTCTGCAACAAGAGAAGCCACTGCAGCGAGAAGCCCGCGCACGGCAACGAAGAGTAGCCCCTGCTCGCCACAACTAGAGAAAGCCCATACGCAGCAACGAAGACCCAACACAGCCAAAAATAAATTAATTAATTAAAAAAATAAAAGAAAAAGAAAAAGAAAAGGCGGTGGAACTGAGATATGAACTCAGGCAGCTTGACTTCAGCTGCTGGGATCTTAAGAGCCATGCAAAGGCCCTGTCTGCTTTCTCTGTTGTGGGAAGAACTGTGGTTGGGGGAAAAAGGTCAGCTTTTGGGCAGGCCATTCAATAAGTTTATTATAAAAATAATGGGGGCAGGATATGGACAGCTAGGTTGGTTACTTCTGGGGTCCATCTAGGGTGACCGTGGCACCTAGGGCTTCCCGGAGCTCCTCAGGGGCAAAGACACCCAGCTCTGTGATGATGCCGCCAGTGATGAGGTCGTGGGGGGTGACATCAAAGGCAGGATTCCAAACCCCAATTCCTTCAGGGGAGAGGGGAGAGGCAAGAAAGGCAGGTATTAGGCTCATTGAAAGTTCTCAAGCTATTGTCGCCTGTCTCACTCACAGTGGTTTTTGGGATTGGGGAATCCTTGAGAATCTAGAGATCCTCACCCCAAAAGTGCATGGAGGCATGGGTTTTGATACCAGTAATGAATTTAGACCCCCTACATTCCTGGACTGTCACTGTCTAAGAAGAAGCCTACAAAGTCTAATATACATCCACCCACTTGTGCCTGCTCCAAGAATTTCTTTAGGAAACTCCAAGAATCCACCCCAGGGCCTTTGCATGGGCTGTGCCCTCTGCCTGGATGCTTTCCCTCAGATACGCACATGACTTGATGTTTCACTGGCTTCAGGTTTTTTCTCAAATATCACCTTCTCAGTGAGAACTTCTCTGATAATCCTGTCTAATCTACCCCCTGCACAGACACTTTCCATATCCTTCCGTGCCTCATTTATTTCTCCTCAGCCTTTACCCGCTTCTAACATACACTGGAATTTTGTTATTTATCTCATTTGTTGTCTGTCTCCCCACTGGACTGTCAGCTCTATGAGGGCAGGGACTTTTATGTCTTTTTTCACTCCTGTTTCCCCGGCCCTATCATGTCACCTGGCACTGGCCAGGTGCTCAAAAATATTTGCTGAATGAATAACAATCTCTTACACAAGAGGCTGCAAACTCTGTTTTCTCTTGTTCACAGTTTTTTAAGACCACTGAATTAGCTGCCAGCTTTCAAAGTGTGGGAGCTTTCAAACATATAACAAACGTAAGGCTTCTCTTGGAAAAATCAGAAGAAAGACCTGTTCTCCTGGGGTCTGCATTCCTGTGATCCTTGGCCAGAACAGAGTATCGGGGTCTGCAGACTGCACCTGGCCCGTGTTACCCAGTTTTCTTGGGGGGAGGGACACGGTGGGTTGTCAGCTCTGCTTTCCATGGTCTGATGGGTTTTGATCAGTGCTAAATAATTAAGCCTCCAGGAAAGCAGGGGCACCAAAAAAATAACGAGAAAATATTTTTCAGAATTAATGTATCTATTTTTATTATTTATCTATCTATCTATATTCTTTTCTATTATGGTTTATCACAGGATATTGAATACAGTTCCCTGTGCTAGACAGTAGCTCCTTGTTGGTTATCCATTTTAAATATAGCAGCGTGTACACGTCAGTCCGAAATTCCCTATCCCTAACTGGTCCTTTTTATAAAAGGTTTTTGATCATACTTGTTACTATTTAAGGAGCACTAAGGGCCAGGCACTGTTCTCCACTTCACGTGGGTTAATTACACTGAACCGCCTGGGGTATATGAGGTAGGTCATGAAAACAGCTCATGGGGCTCTTAGGGATGAATTTTAGGCAACCAGGCTACACAGCCAGGAAGTGTGGGGAAGCTGAGAAATATCTGTCTCTTCATAAGCACTCGGCCAGGTGGTACTCTTATTTCTTATTCAGGTGAGAAAACAGAGCTGGAGAAGAGAAAGGCAATTCGCTCAAGGCCTCCCAACTCATTAGTTGTATCTTCTGACCTTGAATCTGACTTCCCAGACGTGTCTGCTCTAAAATATGGCTTGAAGGAGCAGCTTATGCCCCAGAAGGCTGATGACACCCCAAATACCACCTGCTGCCTGTGAAGGGGTCAGGGTGCCTCAAGAGAGGTGCCCAGGCCTATGGTGACCCTTCTGAGCGGATGGCTTACCGGGTGCTGCAATCCTGACCCCACTGACATGGGTCAGCTCCTGGCCAGGACGCTCCTCAATGATGATCTCCCGGCCCGTCTTCAGGTGGAGGTCACACGACGAGCTGGGGGCAGCCACATAGAAGGGGATGCCGTGGTGCTTGGCGGCGATGGCTAGCTGGTAGGTGCCCACCTTGTTGGCCGTGTCGCCATTGGCAACCACGCGGTCAGCTCCCACGACGACAGCTGGGGAATGAGATGCCAGGAGTCACCACTGGGCCCTGGATGCCTGGAGCCCTGCCCACTGGCACCCCCCCACCTGCTGACCTGACACTCCATAGTGGGCCATGGCGGCTGCCGCCATGCTGTCAGCGATAAGGGTGGCAGGGATCTGCTCGTAGACGAACTCGAAGGCCGTCAGCCGGGCTCCCTGGTTGTAGGGCCGGGTCTCCGTGCAGAAGGCATACTCCAGACGGCCCAGGCTGTGCAGCGAGCGGATCACACCTGTGGGGCCCAGCCCACCAGGAGGATGAGATGCAAAGGGACAGATGGGCAGGGCATCCCAATGGTTAGCAGCATGGTTCTCCAAACCATGCAGTCCCACTCCAGGGCCCTTGCCGTGGCTGTTCTCTCTGCCTGGTACAAATGTGTTTAGAGAATGCCTTCTCCGTGAGGTCTTCCGGGATTCCTCCATCTCACATAGCAACCCTCACACTGCCAACCCCTACTCTTTCTCTTTAGCACTTACCACCTTCAAATGCATCATACGTATTTGTTCTGTTCCTGTGTCTGTTCCTCCTGAATGGCAGAGATGTGATCTACTTTCTCCACTGCTGGGTCCCTAACTCCTAGAACTGTGCTTGGCACACAGTAGGTGCTTAATAAATGTTGAGTGACTGAAGCAATGGATGTATGTATGAATGATGGGGTACACAGTAGATAAGCATTTATTAAGCACAGATATTTGTTGAGTGAATGAATGAATGTCTTGCCATCAGAGCCTCAGTCCCCAGGCACAAGGGTGGCTCCTAGGCAGGCAGGGAAACCTCCTGGAGAATTTAGGATCAAGTGGAATCTGCTGCCTTGAACTCCAGGACCCAGTCCCCCTGGTCCTGGTCACAGCTACCCTAATCTTTCTTTAGGGGGCTACGCCCTACCCCTCAGTCCTCTTGGAGTCCACATCCCACCCACTTTCTTTTTTTAAAATTTTAATTTAACTTTATTTTTATTTTAAAAGTATTTAATTTTTTTTTGGCTGCACTGCACGGCTTGTGGGATCTCACTTCCCCATCCAGAGACTGAACCTGGGCCACAGCAGTGAAAGTGTTGAGACCTAACCACTGGACTGCCAGGGAACTCCCCCACCCATTTTCTAGGCACGCGGCAGAGGCCAGGCCTATCGAGTGACTGATCCTAGATGGACAGATGACTCCATCAGAGCCCCCGAGATACAAGGAGACTTATCTAACACTGTCGGAATAGAGACCCTAGGCTCTTTTCCTTGTGATCTGAACCCTGGCCGACGAGTGGAGCATGAGGATGATGCCACCGTGGAGGAGGGCAGATCTTAGGGATACGGATAGATGGACCCTGATGCTATTATTTGAGCCTCTGGATCCAGTCACACCTGAAGCCAACCCCCTGAGTGTTTCTGTACAAAAACTAATAAATTCACATTCTGGGGGGGTGTATAAAGTGGTTTGGGTTTCTTTCTCTTGCATCCAAAAAGGGCCCTCCCCTATCCCTGTGGATGCCCACTCACCTAGGGCTGTGCCATAGCCAGCAGTGGCCAGCGCACCAGTGTTGCAGTGGGTCAGCACTATCACCTTGCCGCCCTCGGGTGCTGCCCGCTCTAGGAGGTGGTGGGCTCCCAGGTCCCCGATGCTCCGATTGTCCCGGAGGTCTTTTGCCAGCATGTCCTCGGTCCAGCGGATCACTCTGGGGCCGACAAGGGACTCTGAGCACAAGTCACAAGCCTTCAGGGCCCACACCAGCCCCTCCTCCCTGCCCAACACTGCTCTCCTGGAGCTCTCCTG